TTTTATAGTATTTTAAATTATTATAAGAAACAAAAAAAAAGTTCTTACTTAGAATTCATAAAATAATATCAATTCTGGTGCACCATACTAAACTATCGATGGAAGCGTGAAAATAACAACACACCAAGATTAAGATGTGTTGTCTAGAAAATTTTATGCTATAAATAAGTAATATTTGTTTCAGAACAGATTAATGTAACTTTAAATTTACTAATTTTACGAATGTAACCTTTCAGAAATGTATATTTTATTTTAGCGGAATTTTCAAAAACGAAAGAATAATTTTAGTTTACATTTCTCTAAAAAAGTTAAAAATGGTCGTTTCGATTGGTTTTTCGGAAGAATCGACTAAAAATCATTCAAATTTCTATTTGAAATGCTCCATAATATTTTTTCCTGGAATTAGAACATTTAATCCTTTAGCTTTAAACTGAAGCTGGGGAAATCTTCAAAAAGGAATTTTCCTTTATGAAAAATACATTTAAACCATAGGTATATTAGTTTTTGGAGGTACCTATTTAAAATCAATACAATATCAATTTCAAATCAATCAGCGTCCTTCTCGCTTCTTTTTGTTAGAAAATCAGCCCTTGCGACCCAACCTGGACGCATATATAAATGAGAGATTATTGTATCCTTAAAGAGGTTACACACAGACAAAGTGGTACTCGAGTGAAGAAACAGCAACACGCGCGTAGATGAAAGAAAGAGAAGTTTATTGTAAAAGAGAATACACTACTGAAAGACAGGAAATCGGATAGCAGCCTAGTAATTCCTGAAGCAAAGCCCCAGGTATATCCTGTGCTCACTATACATAGTTACTGATATTAGTCAGTCCACATAGGCGATAGGGAATGTGGGACATTCCATTATAACACCCCAACCCCGGAACTAATTTTTCTATGAAATTTTGCTCAATACCTTTTCTTTTGTGGGTCAGGACACACTTGTTTGACTTTTTCCCTCTCCCTCGTACTTTTCCGTCTCACCAGCACAAAAGAGATACATTTTATTCTGTCAGTCATCATTATAATTTCCCCGCAACTGTACGAACCTATGCCGATCTGCATTTAATTCGACAAAACAAAACCTGACATACCATCCATTACAGTACGTTTTATTTATTTATTTATTTGTTCTGATCAATATAAAGTGAACATAATAAAATTGTAGTAACGTTAAAATATAAACGTAACTGTATGAAAATATATTTCATGTGCTCTAAATTACAAACTGATTTGTTTCACAGTACACAAGCTAAAGAAATTAAAAGTGTTCTTTTACGGCAGTGTTCTACGACTTTATACCTCAATGTAAATACCATGACCAGTTTGTCCTAAGTTATTTTGAAAACCAGCAGAGGAATGATTTTTCTACAAGGATAAACATTTGCTTGATTTGTTTATCCTTTAACCTACAAAATCTTGTTAATTTTATTGGAAGCATTTAAAATTCGTCTTGGAAAAGAAAGAAAAATTCTTTTAACAGAAACATAGCTTAATTTAGCATTCAGTAGAGGAGGCATCCTGTAAGAATTCAATTTTGATTTTTTTAGACTGTTAAACGATTGCTGTCAATATTTTTCTTAGATAACATTGTTTATTCTGAAATCACAAATGTTTGACAGGCCATTAAGTGTAAGGGTTCTTAGTTGTAACTTGACAAAAATAAAATAAAATAAAATGAAGGATCCTTTGAACACGTTAACAAATAAACTATTTATATTCAACATCAATACTATTGCAAATTTATGTTGCTCTAACTACTAACCCAAGCTGACAACACTTGTTACCAAGGTTCTTTACAGATGACCAGGTTATTTAAAGATTTTCGGACGGTTGAAATTTTAAAATTCGATATGATTCTTGTGTGTGTTTGTACGCGCGTGCGCGCACGCACGCACACACACACACACGAATTATATCAATATACACATCATCAATTGTCCGAAAATCTCTTTGAATAGTCAGATTATGTCAATACCGTTATTATGACGTTGTGGTTGCTAGTACTGAAATAAGGAGGTTAGTAATAAAGGACAAACGCAGGAGAAAAGGAATTAAGACATAGAGTAACGAATAAATTTTAGTATATGTACTGCCGAAGCAAGTACAAATTACTTTTATTCACTTCTTGAAAATTGGATATGAAAACCTCGGTCCTGCTCTGGAAGCAGTTCATGCATGTCGCTCAACGACTAACCAACTAAAAGGGAAAAGAATACTTGGGATTCAGTGTGACCTCCTTTTATGGTAGGTGCACACAGTAACTATTAATACTGTTATTTTATTTATTTATTTTTTCATTTTGATTTTGTCGCCATCCACTTTCGTGTCTCTTTCTTTTCTGAGGAGTGTCTACTGACAGATTTTTCTTGACTGCTTTCTTTGTTAAGCCACAACAGTTAATAAAGCCATTTTTGAATATGATATTTTTGTATCTAATTTTTATCCTTTTGCTGTGTCTTCATTACAACGTTAACAACAATAAGATTACTCAAAATTAGTCAAAGTTGCAACAATTCAAATTCTTAAATAGATAAATTACATTTATTCAGTTTTTTAAAATAAGATTTCTTTACTTTTATATATCCCAAGTTACCACTTCATCATTCTGATAAATAAGGTTAAAAAAAATTTAATTCACTGAACTCGAAGTAAATTTAGTGATGGGAAAATTCTTGTTCTTCTGAACGAAACTGCTGCATATAATAATGACTACTGGCGTCCAAGTTTTTTATTTTTTTAAAACTGTTCTTGGTATCAGTCTGATATTTTGGTTTACTAGTGTTTGTGCTGCTGCCGCTTATATAGAATAATCTATATTATAAAAGAAAGGCTGATTCTTTGTCTGCGTGTGACTTTGCAAGCGCGTAGTCAATGTGATTTTATTCCAATATAGAACGTAATTAGTGGGGTTATTAGGAGCACAAGAAAAGAAAGGCTCTTACTCGGTGTAAAATAGAAGAGAATTTATTCATTTTAGTATATGCACCGCTACTAGTTCGGTTTACGTAAGGTTTAAAATGATTTTTTAAATGAAAAAAATTTCTTGAAACTTCCATTTTAACTTTAATTGAAAGCTAAAGGATTTAAAATTTATTATTTCCAGTAAGCAAAATACTCTGGTGTATTTCAAAAAGTAATTATATTGAACGGAATCGATTTTTTTCGGTAAAATCGATATAAATCGGCAATTTTGACACATTTGTAAACAAAAGTTAATTCGCGGTTTTAAAACTTGCAAAAATAAAATATATATTTCTGAATGGTTATTTGAGGAAAATTAGCAAACTTAATCTGCTGTGAAACAAATACTACTTACTTATAGCATAAAATGTCGTATACAAGCATTTCTCAACCACGGTGTCTTGTTTTTCTGACATGTTAATAAATTTATTGACAACCGATTAACCGCCGAACATGTTCATAGTTAAGTATGGTGGAGTAGACGATAAATTTTATAATGGGAGACAACCCTTAAAATACATGCCCTTTTAATGATAGATCTATCGGTTTGTACACCAATACTTTAGAAATTCTGTACGTATATACATATACAAAAACAAATTGAAATTCCTTTAAAAATATTTGATTAGTAAATATAGTTTTACTTAATAACAATACTTCCTAAGAGTTATCACATTGACACTGAATTTTAAAAGATTTAAAATCTTTATAAACTATTCAATTTAAAATTGTAAAAAATGAAAACAAGTCTTGTAAAAATTAATTTTTTATCGAATTTTTTTTTCTTCAGACAATATTGTGTTTAATATATATTATTCATAAAACAATTAAAAGCTTCTCTAATTAAATAATGTTTTGGTTTTATTGCGTTTTTTATTTTTCGATTCATAACAGACTTTCGGTAAGACGGGGCCCGATTTTGGAAAAAAAAAATCGGTGATTTAAATTCTTCAAAGAATTTTACTTTTTTTAAAAAATAATATAGTCACTAAAAATTATCACGTTAAATTTCTCAAGTTTTCATAAAATTAACACATAAAAAAAATACATTTTCCAAGATTTTGTAATAAAAATATTAAAAAATAATTAAAATCTGCTAAAAACGCTTTCTGATTGGCTAATAAACAAAAAAAATCATAATTTCATATGTTCTCAACTACGTACGCATCATATCAGTTTAGTGTGTATCCTAAGCAGATACAAAATTTGCGCCAAATTTCTTGGAGCCTCCTACGTGACATGAAACATAATACGAAACATCATTCGACTTCGACAGAGAGTTTTACGAATTTTCTCAGCTCGACATACGAATCCATGTCATATTTTACCAGGCTTAAAGTTAAATTTACACACATTTCCACAGCTTGCGAAGTATTCTCACTCAACTATATAAACTCAACAGAAAACATCAAGTGACACATTCAATCAAAGAGAGACAACTTCATACACAGAACAGTAAGTCGAGTACAATATTACAAAAATCAACACCAAAAACAAACTGTTTAATTTTCCTACAAACACAAAATGCCTTATCAAACTTACCCATTTTTATGCACACAATTTCTCAACTCTTAATCTTTCATATAATAATATCTTCATATCTGGACAACAGGAAAAGGGTTAACTTTTGGGTAACAGGAATGTGCGGACTTTTTTTCCTAATCAATTCATCCCAGACAAGGCGATAAATGCCATTAAAACGCATTGTCTGGGAGTGAAAGAAAATGAAGATTTAGATTTTAGAAGGAACTGGAAACCCAACAGGCGTTTTGAAGTCATTTTTATGAGGACAGCTTCTATATTTAAACATATTTTTAAATGTTTGTCCATAGATTTGAAATTTGATAATCTTGCCACAGCAAAGCGTCGGGATACCAAAATAGTTAACATTAAAAAGTGAAAAAAAAAAAAACGAGACAATTGTTACACGATAAGTCTTCCATATGTTCAGACAAGCCAGCATGCGCTAAGTGGTCACATGGTTATTGTCACTAAAAACACCAAAAGTGAATGTTTTGAAATTGTTAGCAGATTTTGTTCTGAAACAAGGCGCGCATAGACGGTTTGTAAAGACTTTCTTACTACTGGAATCGTTGCCTTTTAACTTGGTCTTTTGCCCATTGGTTCATGATACATTGCTCTGTTTTTGTTTTTATATTTAAATTCAATTAAAAATCACACATAAAGAAAATTTACTTTTTAAAAATTTTCTCTTTGATGTTAGCTTGCATCAACAATGGCTGGGAGCGGAGACAAGGAGTATATGGATGACTTAGACGAATACAATATAAACCAGGAAAAATTTGTCCATTCAAGTCACAGTGGTAAGGGCCGGTCGAAAAAAGAAGCTGGTCAGCATACCAACCATGCAGACCCCGGGGGTCACACCAGAAAAGCCGTCGTTAAACTTGTTAACAACAGCCACAAACCGCAACAAAGTGGGCCGGCTACCAAAGGGCCTGACTCAGCGAAAAAATGAAACGAAGGTGACTAAAAAAAAAACTAAAAAAAAAAACTCACTATTTTGGGATTTTATTCTTGTTCTCAAATTTAAGTACTCGTTTCTAATAATAATACGACATTTAAATAAAATTTGTTTACGTTGAGCTTTTAATGAATCTGTCGTAAAATTTGTTTATTGGGCTTTTTATTTCGTCTTAAAAGTGAATAAAAAAATATGCTTCTTTCAAGAGATGACGGGAAAAAAAAACAATGAATTAAGAAGACTGGAAGTTCTAATAAAATTGCCTGGTTGTGCTTGCTTAGTTGATTTTTTTCTCCACAAATTTTCAGTGTTCGATCATGGGTAAGAATAGGCAGGATTTGGAACATTTATTTATTTTATTGGGCGTTAGGTCATTTTAAGTTTTTAACCTTCGTTAGGGCTAAAAACTAACACGTGTCTCAGTGAGGAGCTAGTTAGTAGTATTCTCAGAGTGCGCCACATTTGTAGTTTCATGCCAGCCTTAGGAAAAAATGCTATTCAATTCATTATGATTATTTTCTTGAGTATTTTTCTTTCTGTAAAAAATTAATTCAATTTTATTTTCATGTCAATACCGCATATAGCCGTGTGATTTAAAAAAATCCTTACTAACCATAATTTCCAACTGTTTGCGACAAATCAAAACAAAATACTTAGTGAATGAAAGTCTTCTAGACTAGTGAAGCTTTCCTAAAGTGTTATTTCATTTAAATTTTTAAATAGTAAAAGAAGGTAAAACCAAAACTATTGATCAGACGAAATATGAAGACAACTTGTTTAATGTTTACTTACTGTTGTTTTGTGACAACACAGTTACAATTGAAATGCAAAATAAGAATCGACAGTACTATAAGTTAAATAAATAAATTACAAATTTAAACTGCTGCAAACCTTGTATTTATTTATTTATTTTTTCCTACAAGTTCTACATACAAACAAAAAGATTTTTTTTACTTAATGCCAATCCCACGGATAATTTGAAAAGTAAAAAAAAGTGTTCGAAAGATTTATTTATTTTTTAATTTTTTTTACTTTACTTTTCTCTCATTTACAGAACACATAAAAAATATTATCAATCAATCCAGTAGAGATGAACCACCACTAAAGATTTTTCTCTTTTCTGCTAATAAATTTAAAAAAAAATTAACTTCTTCAAAAATGAATACAGTACTTTATTCAAATTTATTATGTTTTTTTTTGCTTTTAAAATCGTTCAAATTCTCAACCAGCAAGAGAAAGGTGTTTACTACGGAATTAAATTAGATTGAAACCACTTTTCGATTTGGTCGTTTCTCTCTTTGTGTTGGTTGCTCATGTGGAAAAAAAACAAAACAAAAAAAAAAAACACAATTGCCGTGTTGTTTTTTTTTTTTTTTTTAGTTAACTAATTAATGAGGGACGAGTAAGTCATTGTTTTGTTTGTTTGTTGTAGAAGTTTCGGAAGAATTTTTATTTTTTCATACCAGTTTCAAATTTCATTGTTTTACATATGCTCTTGTCAGTCCCCCGTTATTTTTGTTGCGTGTGTGTTAAAGTAAATTTGAGAATTATTTTCTTTTCTTCTTGAGAGTAGACAAAAGAACTGGGTCGAATTGCTACTACTTTCTTTTGGTAATTTTTCTCACCTTCATTTTCTTGAGAAAAAAATTTCAAAATGTCCGATACATCACGTAAACACAGTCCTTTCAATATTTATTTTTTCAGTCAGTTTATGTATGAACATGCACATTGCAAAAGTTGAACACATTTGTTTTTACTTTTAAAAAGAACGATTTTTGAAAACTGCAGTATTTCTATTTGTTTTTAATGTCCAGGAGAGGTGAACTAATATCGCTCTCTCAAGTGCAAGTCTCAATAGATTCCTTTTAATTTTTTTTTCTTCATTGCAGTGGTTTCTTGTTTCTTTCTCAAAAGTTTTGAATTTAAAATCACAAAATAATTGTATAGGTATTTTACTTGTATGATAGAAAAGATCAGTCTCTTTTTCTGTTTGCTGTATCCCCCACCATAAACCTAAAGATGCAAGTAAAATACATCTTTACCCCTTTTAAAAAGCAATAAAGAGAATTCATTGTTAAACATTTAAATCTTATTAAAAAATATATTCTCACACCTTTGGAGAATCCCTGCCTGATTGACCATGTCTTCATTGTAGCCGTACTCATCACACTTAGGCTCCGCTAGCTGTTGAGTGATGGAGAAGAAATGGATTTATAGCTTTCATAAGGCTATTTGTGCATAAGTAAATATAAAGAACTCGACCAGAATTCGAACTTTGCTCTCTAATTTCTCAATCGAGGCCATTGTCCACTATACCACCATGCCTTCAATTAATTAAAGAAAGCAGTAAATGCTTTCCTTTTGGGCTTTTAATTGTTCTTACATAATTTTATCTAATTTGATGCACAATAATTGTCAGATTGACTGATACCTGCTGTTTTTAAGTGGTTACTCATCTAAGTACTGAGCACTGGCATCATTGTTTAACTTCTAGTCGGAAGTTCTGCTCAGTCAACTTCTCCAGATATGCAAGAGGATGCTTCCCTGACTATGACAATCTTAATAGCTTCAAATCCAGGATTAGCTGTTATCTATCCTAAATATACTTATAATATGCATTTCCTGCTTCCTCCTTCTACCTCCCTTACAACACTTACTTTGAGTGGCTCTTGGACCTTCTATTGAATAAACTAAAATTTAAAAAAAAACAAAAGAAAAAAAAAATAGTTCTTTCAGCATTACTTAACTGTAAGCCTGTGTGTGCCAAGTCAGTGCAGGTAAAAGTCACAAAGCATTCACATTATTTACATTTAAAAAATTTCTTTGCAAAAATCATTCTTTACAAGCGATATTTAAAATTACTGAAGAGATTCTTACTATTCAGATATTAGGTCCACAAAATGCTTTAAATTCTGAACCAGTTATTTAATGGAGGTGGTAAAAAAACTTATCTATCTATATAAAATTCTCATCCCAACCAGCCATATCAAAGACAAATTAGCATCATTTGAACCCTATCTTCTTCCTTATTGCTGTTTCTTTTTGCAAAAATTATTGAAATTATGTTATTGTTTTTTTCTTTTCTGAAAACTCATCACGGACCAAAAGTATTGCCTGAGGAGGACCTCCCACTCCTCCCCCGATAACTACATCACTGGAAAATTTATGTACACTAAATTTGTGCCTTGGCTCTTACAACATCAATGAATGTCAAAAATTTAAAGTGAAGCATTTCTGTAACTTGTGTTTTTAATGTAAAATCGCAACCAGTGTTGTATTTCTTCCTTGCCTATATATATATATATATATATATATATATATATATATATATATATATATATATATATATTTTTATTAAAACAAGATGTGTTTAATTTTGCTTTGCATAAAAATGCCAGATTCAATTTATGGAGAAACTGTCAATATTTTCGTTTGAATTCTCTCTACTATTCCAATCATTTAAATGTTTAAATGTTATTAGTTCATGTTTTCATTAGCATCATCCAGGCATTTTTAGGAATGGTATTCTAACTTAAATATAGAGTCCAAGTGACATCTTATGTAAAACTGTTTGTAACTATGTGTAAGAGATGTTTTCTTTTTCTCATATTCTTTCACACTCAGTAACCCCCCCCCGCATCTTAGTGGTTTTATTTGCCTTGCTTGGAGGTAAATGGTTAAAAATAAAATAAGATTTAAATTTTCAAAAAATTAGTCTGTTAACTAATAAATAAAACTTGACAATGCCTGAGAAGATATTAAATTTTTAAAACAAATGCCTTCTCCTGTGGTGAAAGATTTTGTTTAATGTAAGATGTTTATTTTGATATATATATATTTTAAACAGTGATGTATAGTATTTTAACATTATCTACTAATATTGTCTTATGTTGATAGTTATATTTTAGTTGTTTGTGATCAATGTGCATGAATTGCACTAACCTTTTGATATGTTGTATGTTAAGCTACAGAAGTATGTGGTGGTTGTATGAACAATGTAAGAATTTAATGTCTTTTCTATGTTGGAGATTCAATCTTACGAGGTCACGAACATTGTTTTAAGAAAAGGTGATTACTGAGGTTATTATTAACTTAGATATTTTAATTTTTTTGTAATAAATGATAAATCTTGGGTTCTTATTACAATTATTAAGTGATACGTACCTGCAAATTACATTTGAATGTTTTTTTTATAGTAATATATATTTGGTTACGACAGAATAAATTAAGCATATTTTTTTTATTAACATGGTTTTTGAAACTTATTAAATTTTTTTTTTATGTTACTCACTTCTTTTATAAAGTGTGTGTGAATAAGAAATTAGTTTAGTTTGATTTGGTTGATCACACATTGTGTGTGTGTGTATGTGTGTGTGACATGTAATTAAATCCACAAGCATTTACTGTGTGAATGTTTGTTCTTTGTAGACATGATTCATTTAAGTTCAAAGTCTTTATAAACAGATCTTGTCCGAGACTTTGATACTATTATCTGGCAAATCCATTTTTGTTTGTGAAATCTGCAATACTGGAGGATATAAATATCTACAATCAATATTTCTGTCGTAAAACTGAATTGTTTTCTTACAATTTGATAAATTCAATGGTTTTTGATATAATCATTTTGCACCATTATACATTGTTTTTATTATAATTTTGTATTTAACAGATTAATCCACATAAAATAAAAACACCAAAAACATTTGAATTCTAGCCTGATAGGGGTGGAAAGACAGAAAAACTGTATATACTCACGGGTAGGTCACCCCACTACTTTATTGCTTAATAATTGATGACTTGCAGATAGGTCGCACTAGTTACACAACCCCTTTTAAATGTAAAAATTATCAGATATCTACCTTTTATTTCAAAACTTACAATTATTAATACACTTTTGCAGATCAATTTCCATGTTCTTCTGCATAATTTAGTACTTTTAATTTAAAACCTGCTTCATAACTTTCTTTTACTTATGATTAGGGTTTGCAACAATTAAAATTATAAACTATAAATTTGACTACCAACTATATTGCTACACAATGCAGAATAGTGCAAACGTTTTAGATACTAGATTCATGCACTTTATTATTTGTAAATAACACTTAAGAATGTCTTTTAATGTTATATGAAACATCCATTAAAGAAAATTTCATTTCTTTAAGTCATATTTTCCAACGTATTTTTGACAAAATATATATTGCAGAATGAATCGTGGGACAATTTTTTCTTTGTCAATAAACATCTACATGTGGTTCCTGAACTTTTGTATGCATGTTCAAGGTTTCTATATCAGTCTAGGGTGAGGGCCCTGACTGAACGGTGACTGATGGATCAATGAATATTTTATAATTTATTGTGATGGATATGTAAATCTAGCAGCAAGAGTTAAGTTTAAAGCAGTGAGTTAGTATGATAGATAAATTGTTCCTATACGGAGAAAAACCACAGCTTTAGTGTTTTATGTGTATCATTTTCGATTTCTCAGAAATCATGATGACAAGGTGGGGGTTGTTTTACATTTATGTCAAGCAGATAGGTCGTACCCCTATTTTATGAAATTTTTGGTAAAAAAGTGCAACCTATCCACGAGTATATACAGTAAAATATAAATAAAAAAATATAGACCAAAACTTGTGCCCCAATCTATTTGAGGTACATTTTGAATATTCTTTCAAGAATTGGAAGATTTCTACAATCAACTCTTCCGTCTGACTAGGAGAAAGGAAGCAAAAAGCCTATTACTTTTTGTACCTTACTGTAGTGTCCCACCTTGTTAGGCCATGTCTCATAAGACCAAGATTTAAAGGGTGAGTGTTTGTATTGCACCTACTATACTCTTTTAAACCACACAAACAGGCTTGAGAACTCTTGCTGGAAGGCTTACAATATTCATGGAAAACCTTTTGAAATCTTCATTCTCCTACAAAGAATGTCAGCAAAGTGTCCAGGTTATTGTCAACAGGGCCATGTCCAGGATGCCACAGTTAAATAAAAAAACAACTCTGCAAATATCACACTAATCACTGCCAAAACTTAAAATGGATAGCTGTGGGATTTATTAGAGTTAGTGAGTGACAGGCTCTTAAATAATGCATATTATCAGTATTTTATCAATTTTTAGAAATATTAAAAGCCTTTTTTTAATTGTATATTTCAGTGTTTTCATATATCATGCTTTTGTTTTAAAAAGATATTAAATAACTTGTGAATTAATATTGAAAAAGGCTTGTTTTCGAGCCCAGTGATTATTACATGATTTATAAATACAATGGCTACTATTACTCTTTTTCATGTTTGCTCATTGCGTTTTTTTCATTTTCTAGAAATCATCATCTTTATAAAATTCCAGTTTTACATTATTTTCTGCCAAGAAAAAAAAACTGCAAATTTTTGATATTGGCATAATAAATTAAAGTACTATCAAATTTGAAAAAGTATAAACATTTAGCAAAATATTCAAACAAGCTTATTGTTACACTTAATCAGGCAAGATTACCATGATTACTTTTGTAGTTTTTCCTGTGTAACGTTAGACAAAAAAAAGAAATTTATTTTGATAATGAAACTTGGGTAATGTCTTCAAATTGATGTCCATTATCTTAATCTAGTTAATGTCAAATAGAAGTAGAAAAAAAACTATTTTTTTTATATTTGTAGTTTTCCTAAGTGCCTCTTTCAAATGATATATTTTAAGTGACTTAAATGATAGGAATTGAAAATACTTATTCTGAGAATGTAAAATACTTTAAAGGGATCTTTGAGCTTGGAAATTACCCGATTACTAATCAGTTATAAATCACATTACCCCCCAAAATAGCTTAATGTGAAACATTGACAAGTCTCAAATAGATAAACGTTTTTAAATCTCATTTAGAGTATAAATCTGATTTGAAAACTTCCTGATATGGAATTAACTTTATAAACTGAATATTACAGAGTTGAGTTCTTCTAATTAAATTATTTTGTTTAATCCTCATTAAACTGCAGTCTACTTGTAATCTTGTTAACTAATTGCCAAGTTATTTCTATACTTTTCCAATATTAGCCATATTAATATAGCCAGTCCTTGCATGATTATATCAGCTGTAAGATCAGATGAATGAGAAACTAGTCTGCTTCAAAGAAACCAAATCCTTAAATATCAATTTAAGGATTTGGTTCTTTAGGATTTATTTTCTTGTGACATTGCTAAGAAGGAATTAAGTTAAAATAATCTTGTGAATTTTTGTCTGCCTTTATTATCTTGTAATGATCAAATTAAGATATTTTCCCTTTTAATTCATTCTCAAAGCAGTTAAAATACACACACATCATTCTGAGCACTTTCAGTTTCATAAGCTATTAATCAAATTTATGTCTATAAATATAGTTTCTTTTCTTGTCACCTTTTCACATGTCAAGTGTAGCGTCAGTTTTTTTTTCTCAAATATTGTCTTGTCAGTTTGTAGTACCTTCTTTTCTATTTCTTCTCATGATCATACAAAGGGTGCTGACAAGTTCTTGGTCTGTTCCACTTTCCAAAATATGACCATTGATTTTTGTAGGACCAGACCACCTTTCAGTGCTTGTTGATGCTAAATTTCATTCCATCTAACTTGGAATTCAAACAATAAATGAATATTATCTTTTTTTTTCTGTAGCAATTTACTTTGGGTAAAATTTCATATAAGAAATCTTCACTAGAGAGGATTTTTATGGCTTAACTTACTCAACCTGAAAAATAATTTAAGTCTGATCTCGTAAGTACATTCAACCCTATTGGTTTTCTTTTTTTTTATTTTTTATTCCTTACCAAATTATAAATACCATAATAGTAATAATCCAGATATTAGCCATGTTTATTTCTAAGTAATTTCTGTTTTTTTTCATTTCATTTTATCTTTTTAAATCTAATCATAATCTATTTAAAATGTTGTACAAACTTTTTTTTCCTTCTTTCAGCTGCTTTTGATTCTCTGTGGTGATAAAATGAAAAGAATCAATATGGTATTTTTGTCCTATCAGCCACCCTTGATCTTCACGCAAATTACCATCAAACTATCCAAAGCTTATTCTTTTGATTATTGCAGATGAAGAAAACTTTGTCTAACATTGTTGAAATACATTCTGTTACAATTCAAATACAAACAATTTTTTGTTTTCTTTTCCTGCATTGCACTTAATTTTTTTCTTTTTCTATTGTGTAGAATATTCTTTATATCATTTTAACTATGAATACCTGTTACAAAAATCCACCAATCAAAACTGAATATAATTTCATTGGAAGGGACACAAATCAAAGTTCAAATATAACAATTTTGAGAGTGGAAAAACCTGAGTAATTTTTAAAATTTGAAAAAAAAAAAAAAAAAAAAAAAAAAAAAAAAAAAAAAAAATAGCTGGTTAAATTTTTTTTCTCTCACAATAGCTATCTCCACCTATCAGATTGCACACTAACATGAGATATCTTACTCCCCAAAAATCAGCTTTGATTAGCCATATATAATACTGTTAAATCGAGACCTGACCATTTATGTATCTTGTCACCATCATTTTGGTTCCTTACCTCTACTTCTTTTGCTATTCAGCAGATTTGGGAGAGACTTTATTTAGTATATTTTATGTGACAACCTGATGGATATAATAGCTTAGTCATCACAAGAGGCTCTTCAGATTTAACAAAGTTACTGTAAGAAAAAAATAAAATGCATTGTGCTTCATGACTCCAAGAATGAAATGGAAATTTCTGCTTACTTTCAACTGTACTTTTTCAACACAAATGAAACTACAGATAAGAGATATATTTTAATTTGTCATTATGGTTTTTCAGATTTGCAATAAAAATTAAAGTAAAATAGATAAAAAAAAGTAATGATTAAGATCCTGAATAAATGTTGCAAAGTGATTTATTGATGGTGATTAGTATTTATATTCTCATTATTGTTGATTTTTTAATGACAATATTCTAGGTTGAATAACCTAGTTGTTTAGCAAAAATAGTTTCCAGTGAGATAATTGTGATTTCTAAAAATTATAACCATTTCAAGAGTTGTTTAGACAGTTAAATTAATTTATTTTTGAACTACAAAGTCCTATTCTACATCAGTATAGAAAGGGTAGATTCTTTTCTTTTTTGGATTTGCTTACCTGAAGAAAGTTGTTGAATCAATTGGCTGGCATATTGTGGAAACAACAAAAGCAACAGAAAGAATAAGTTTAATATTCTGATCACCTCTTAAAAAAAAAAAACACAGAATCTTATTTGGCTAACATCTAAACTAATTTAAGCTAATAGAAGCTTAAATGTTAATCTATAGTCATATTGCCACCTCTGTTAATTTTTCACACCATATTTTTTTAACCTAGTAGTAGTAGTAATCTTTATTTCTTTGATGAGTTGCTAGACTGAACAACTGAAATTTCAGTATTGCTAAATTTTGAATGTGGTGGTTTGGAACTTTTGGGGTTACTTTTAGAATAATCTGGGCTAACTGAGCTAACCTAGACAAATAATGAAAAGAAACTAAATTTAAAATTTAGTGGCTTTCAAATGTAGTCTAGTTTGCTACTAGTAACCAAATTTTGGCAACTCACCTATCTGGTGAGTTTCAGAAGACATTTCAATAAAACCCTTTATTTCTCATTCATTGTTTTATCCTCATTTTTTTTTGGTATCCAAGTAGTAGCCTTTTATATTTTATATGCATAGTAAGCTTTCCTGTTAAATTCTGCAAGTCACTGTTTGCTTTTTTTTGTAGGCAAAACATCTGATAAATGTACTAGTCCAAATTTGTAGAATAATTATATAATAATATTTTATAAACTAATAAATCTGCCACCACTTCCACTAAAAAAATGTAGAAAATGAGCTGTAAATGTATAGCTTGTGACAATAAAACTTATGAAAGTAAAGTTGTTAATTGTTGAAAATGAGTATTGTACAGTATACAAATTTATTTGGGATTGACAATTTGCTTTTCATTACAATAAAATGGTTCTGAATTGACTCATAAGTAATTTTTGTTTTTGGGAACCAATTGTAATGACGAATGTATAATCTTTAGTAATCATACAAAGATTATTTGCTTCAACTAAAAAAAAATAAAATCCAAGCTATGTCTAAATATTAAGTATAATTAAAAAATTATTAACTACATTGTTACATAAATAAAAAAAAATTAATAACTACATAAATCTTTGTAAACATCTTACAATATGTCATAAAACATTTCCTTTATTAACAAAGAAAATGATTTGGCACATTTAAAAATTTGCAAATTATAATTGATTAACCAATGGTTTTTATCTACTCTGGGCACCAAGCCCAAGAGTTCCTACTTTTTGTTATAGTGCAGAAATATTTGGCTTAGTGTCCCACCAGTAAAGAATAAGAATTCCAGGTCATTAAAGCAGAAAACAAAGACATATAGCACATGAGTTTATTTTCCATAAAATTTCCCCACAGATTTTCATATTTGAGAACCCTCAAGATTAGTTTCAGAACAACACGCGGCGATGGCAATGGTTGATAGAAAACTTAGAAAATGGGTGAAGAGAATAAAGAAATGGAATAAAACAAAACATCTAAATAAAAAGAAGCACTCACACCATATATATATATATATATATATATATATATATATATATATATATATATATATATACTTTGAAATATATATTTATATATACACAAACAGATATACACATATCTATATAAATATATATTTAGCATATATCTATACATATGCACACACACCTATGTATATGTGTGTATATAAGACAGACAGATACACATGTACATATACAAAACTATATAAATAGATGTGATGTTATATATTTACACAGTAATATATATGTAGCTTTAATATTTTTTTTTAGTCATTTTGATAAGAAACCTTGTCTCTTATTTTCTCAACCAGTGTTCCCATGAAATTAATGTGACAATATTGATGGTGTATAGCTAACTTTTGCCAGAATCAATAATAAATTCTATATGGCTAATAGTTGGCAGTACCAACAAAATGTACAATTACATCTCAAAACAGCAAGTAAGGTTAGAGTAATAGACTGACAATTTTGACAGATGTGTACTGTTATATGCTGACAGTATTAATTTTAATGTCTAGGTATACATAACAATGTTGACAGCATCTTTGATACTGTGGAGCCAAATGTTGATAGTGCCAAGTATTGATTGTATTTACATGCACATATATGTAGTATTAATTGTACAGTCAAGTGTTCATGCTGCCAACTATAGCATATGGTTGGCTGTTGAATATGTTGATTAACAATGAGATTGTACAGTTGAGTATTGACAGAGTCAATTTATAACCAATGTAGAGAATTTCAGCAGTTGTAATTATAATATTAGTAGCAAAAAGTTCACTTGTTGCAACTGTATATCTACAAAGCAGAACCAATTAATTCACCTATGTTGAACAGAGCACAAAGATATGCAGTAACCATAATGAGAGGAATTACAAAGAGACAGGAAAGATGGCATCAGATGTTGTAATCAAACACTGAAGTCTTGATGACATTGATGGGGAAAATTACTTCTCTACACAGTACAACTAAAATAAACAGTTAAAATGATTTTGATCATATGAATAATGTTTTTAATAGGTCAACAAAACCTTGGAAAAGAACAATGTTATCATAATTTGGAGGTGTTGTCAAGAATGTGGGGAACATTTTAAACCTGGATATTGATTAATGGATAATTTTTAAAGTGAATAAATAAAATGGATGGAAGTGATTTGAAATTTGAAAAATTTTTCTGGCCAGATTGCTTCATTTTTAAAAAAAAAAATCTAAAATAGAAACACATAAGTAAAGGCATAGAAGCCTTTATCCAATTTTATGTACAACTGATGTAAATAGGAGAAGATGAATGGTATTTTGATATGAAATCAAAAGTCAAATAAGGATGAATCAAAGATCAGTTCAACAAGACATCAATTACCATCATACCACTTGCCCTGATTGAGAGACAAAAATCCACTTGCTTTTTTAACATGCCTAAAATGAAATGCATTCCTTCAAAAGTCCAGAGATTATGCATATACAGATGCACAATTGCATTCACAGCTTTGGTTTTTATTCTTCACACCAACCTGTAAGTTTTTATTTTCATCTTCAAGGGGAATCTGAATAGAAAAAAATTACTTATAATCTCACATAAAAAATTCTCTTGGAGTTGGGTGGGGGTCCTGATTGCAAAACACATTTGTAGCATAAAATAGACAAAATTTCATTTTTTCTGGGAAAGAGTTGGGAATCTGTAAAGAGAAAGTAAATGCCTATACTTGGCACGAGTTTCTACAATAACTGACTGTTACAAGATGCCCAAACACATTTACACCAGATATTTTTGAAGCATTACTGATTATTAGACAATGTATAACCGATTGAAATGCTTATTAAAAGCCTATCCTTTATCTTCTCACAAGTTTTAATTACAAGGCAACATTCAAGATGTTAGACATTTTAAAACTTGGAAATACATTTTCTCTTTAATTCCACACTATCAGTAGTATAGGTAGCTACATTTTGAAAGAAATGGATGAAATGATTTGTGTCAGAATCAGAGCAAAAGAACAGAATATATTTTGGAATCATTAACAGAAGTGTGTGTCTATATGTGCATGCGTGTTTCTTTTTAGCTGTGATGACTGAGTAGTATTTTAAGCCAAGAAAGACAATTTTAAAACAGTAGACTGTAAAACTTTCATAAGTAACCAGAGTGTCAAATTTCAAATGTTAAATTCAAGATATGAAACTCAGGAAGTAGCATTTCTTTTACTATTAAAAATTAGTAAGCCTGAGACATTGTGAAAATGAAAACAAGTGGAGAAACAGATTTTGCATCTTCCAAAAGGAGAACATTTTTAAAATTTCCTAAAAATATTTTATAATTGAGAAAGAACTGGCATCAGGGAAGGAGGAAGAGAGAAAAGTTAATTTTTTCAATATCTACAGAATTTAAATATCAAACTCATCAGTAGACATTAATTCAATTAGAACACAATCACTAACAACAAAACTAGAAAGATATATGCACACACACACACACACACCAGCAGATAACC